CATCCAACTTACATGAATGCCGGTAAACAAACACAAAGTCTGCATCTTTAAAACAATAAAAATCATGCTTACAAGAATCTTCATAAAAATGTCATAAAGTATTCTCAAGAACGACACAATCTTCCCATCTGTGTCTTGAATTCCTCAGTATAAGCACAAATAAATTGCTGTAAAATTATGTTTGCATAAGTTGAGAATTTTTCCAAGAATTCTGACTGCAAAATTATCTGAAATTTCATAAATTCCATTCTGACATTCTTGAAGTGAGTGATGGAACTACGCCGTCATGTACAATTTAAAGCTATATGTATGTCTCACTCACGACATGTCGTGTTGTTGTTTACTTTTCTGTTCCATTCTGGAACTTAACAGAAGCATTCAAAAATATCAATTTTTATATCGCTTTTATAAGGCGAGCAGCTCCACATATGACACCCGAGCGGCACAAGGTGGAGGGTGGTCTCCATATGGAATCCATATGAAAGCCACCTCCACTATGTGGGAAGTAAATGGAGGGTTATTTTTTCATCCTTCATATTGATTCCATTTGGATTCCATATGAACTCCGCTTTTTCTTAAATCAAATACCGAAAAACTCGTGCTTTTGAATTTTTAAAAGACAGAGGTCAGATCTTACTGTAATGGATTGAAATATTGTCGAAAAGCTTTACTGAATCATATTGCTTCATTTCAAGCTTTAAAAAAGCAAAAAAGGATAATTTTTTGTGATTTTGTATGAAATTACATACTTCACAAGCGCATGCAGAAATCACTATTATATGGAGTCGTTTAATTTGTATGAAAATTTTTAATAATTTTTTATGTTTCTCACGCGTGTGATCGAGACTTAGAAATTGCTGTGGTTGCGACTTAATTAAATTAAGTTGTAAATTTTTCAATAGTGTTAGTGTACTTTAATTAAGTCCACTAATACAGCTACAAATCTTGATATAAAAATTGCGAAACATAGAAAAACACGTGGAAAATCGTACCAAAAATCCTTTGAAAAAAACTTCCATTAAACCTCCGTTTGACTACCACAAATGGATCCTCCATCCTCCATCAAAACCTCTCAAATGACTTCCATTTGGTGTTAATAAATGCACGTCCCACGGAGGATTTTCGGAGCTTTGGCTCCGTCAAAGTTCCATGATAGTAAGGTTTTCGGAAGATTTTCAAATGGAGGGTGGAACATGGAGGCTCCGTATAGCTTCCATATGGAAGGCAAATGGAGCCTTTGTGCCGCTCGGGACACATATTTTGATTATGTCATAGCACAAAAGAAATTCTTCATAAAAATTCAATTCAATAGCAATTCTTTTCGAAGCACGCGTTTTACATAATAATTGAAAGTTTAACGACAATCGAACGGAGTTCCATAAGAAATAAATTTTTCACACTCATGCCTTTGACATAATTGGAATCGATGAATGAATGAGAGAAGAAAGAAAAGCACAAGAATTTTATGTTGTTATGAAAAAAGGTTGAGATTGCAAGCCGTGATTGCGACGGATGTTGCACGTGTGTCACTGGAGCGGGTCAAAACTATTGGCAAATTATGTAATCGAGACTGCCTTCTTTTTTCTTTGCTCTCTTGCCACAGTCTTCTCATTTGATGCAGTAAGGCGAGCGACATTCTTGCATGCCTCACATGGATGCCTAAATGCTTAACGCAATTAAACCTCGATGAGAGAATTCAGACATGAAAGGAGAGAAGCAAAATATTGCAGGAATAATGTCGATTATCGTAATTGATTTTTAAAATTCAATTGAAAGCTATTAAGTAGCTAAAGACAATCTTTGTATTGAATCTACCATCGAGATTTTTTTTATGAAAAGATGAAATTTAAATAGCTAAGTTTTGCCTTTTTTGCGGTAGGAAAGAAATTTTGCAAGATAAAGTCAGTAAAATAGGTTATTTAAAATACAAACTGTGAGCGACTAAAGACTCACCATCAATTTCAGAGATCAATTTCATTGGATTATTGTCGGAAGAGGGGGATTTGATCCTCAATTTTTAGATTCGGCTTGGGCATCACACACTATTTTTACGTACCTTTTTAAGGGAATTTCAAAAATGTTGAGACGAGAATCTGAAGATAAATAGATTGTTGATCTTTAATTAGGTTTTATAATTGAGGTGAGGAGGGGCTTGGGTAGCTAAAGGTTGTGTAGCAACAAGTCCATCTTATCCCTAGAATCCTAACTTCCCCTTTAAAATGTGGAATTGTGAAGCAACATCAAAAAGCCAATCGCCAAAGGAACATGCATATTCTTCTATAAGTAAAGCACAATGAAATGATAGCTGCAATAATAATAACAATGAAATAAAAACAAATGACGATACATAATTTTTCCTTTATTTTCGCCGATTCGATTTCAAGGCGTGCCGCATTTTACGAGCACAACTAAAGAGTGCAAGAAAAAAAACCGTTAAAAATTCAATGTAGGATGCAAAAATAGAGTCATAAATTATAATAAAATGGCAGGTCGACGTAATGTGATGCAATTGTGAAAGCTATTGTGCATAACTTTGATGCAGGTGAATCCGACGTAGCGATAAAAATGGGATGAAAAAAATATATCGATATTTAATTGTGTAATAACTGTTGGAATGAGTTGATGAGAATTTGTTGAATATAATTCAACAGAAAATATGATTTGTGGATTTTCTCATGGATTGTTGAATATTTTACCCAACATTGTTGAGCTTAATAGATTTAATTTTCACATTAGCTAATGTTCTTAATTTATAGAGAATAAGGAAAACATTAAGAGCAACTTGATGACTTTTAATGAGCACAATAGAGACTCTTAATCACATTTATTCTGATTGCAAGAACAATAAAAAATTAAGTCATAAAACTTTAAATGGAACTGAAGACATTAAAGAATTATATTTTTTATATTTCTGGTCTACATTAAAATTACATGCTCTTTAAAATCAAAATATTTTGACAGCTTAATGCCCACCTTTGTGATGATCATGTGGAAGTAAACGCAAACAATGGATTATAATGAAATTTGAAACCTAGACCATCCAGCTCTCGACATTTATTCAGTATTATTACCTCATCATACATTTCATAATTCACCTATCGTTTTGCTTACCCATTTCCATATTAATTATGATAAACTTTTTATCACTTTTCAAAGATTAGCGGTAAATTTTTTTGGCGAATTGATGACTTAACAAAAAAGACACTTATGTATACATTCAATTTAGCATGGATGTATAGTGTTAAACCTGGTGACATTTGCATCTGAAAAGAGGCAAAAAATGTCACAATAGAGTTGAAATTTTAGCATCTCTCTCGTTTTATGTCTGACCTGACAAATGTCAAAATAAATATTTAATTTCACATTAGTGGAAACGGAAAATTTGTGTTGATACTGATACTAGGTCAAACTGAAACTGATCGTAAGGCTGTATACGACGCATTCTTGACTGAGCTTGGTATTTTAGCTTAAGCGCACAAGTTGATGCTACTAATAGATAAAAGGTGCATCAAAGTATCCCCTCACATCCTATCCTTTCTGGAAAAAATGTAGAAAGATTTGAAATAACGGAAATAACTCACAAATGATTTCCTGAACCTTGAAAAATATCCAGAATAAATTTAATAAACAAACTCTAGAAATTATTATAAACTCCAAGTAATATTATGTTCATTTTTTTTTAATTTATGTTCTAAGTTACACTTGATTGAACAGAAAACTACACAAATCAACTTTATATTAAACTAGAAATTCCATAGCAATTATTTTTAATTTTCTAAGATTTTTCTGAATCACAAAAAAAATAGTTTTTACGCCAACATTCCAAGAACTCCAAACAATTTCACCAACCTGCCATGACACATAATTCTGAGATGAAATTACATCCCATTATGGACAAGTCACAAAAGAGCAAACATTTGAAAACAAAAGACCATAATATGAATATGAAAAGAAGCAAGTGTGACAAGTTTTTGTATAAACATTAGAAATGACATGAATACATTTTTGACACCCATTATTATAGTCGATTGCGATCATCATGATCGCGTCACGAAAAGGCAATTTGTTTTATGTCTGTCTTGAAATATTTACACATTAAAACTTAATTAAAAAAAAATTGAGCAAAGTTTTGTTTTTGAGTGAGCAAATTTTATATTTGCTTTACCTTTTGGTCGTCGAATGACTTGAATTATTTTTAAAAATTTCTTTTATTTTTGATGCTGTTCCACTCTAGTTGCAGCATGTGTTGCAAAGTTGCAATGACTTCTTACTATATGGATATGATGGAACTTTGAAATAATTATTGGGTATTAAATTAAGCTTCAGAAATTTTTGGAATGTTAAATGCAATTTTTCATAAATTAGTAATTAGATATTCTGTCATCAAATCAACAGCTACAGCACCAAAAATATGATGAATGTTTTGAAGCATTACTGGTGATTTTATGTTTTTGGTTTAGCACAAAAGGAACAGTTCATATATCTTTTTGAAGTAACTAGACGCGTGCCGCCACTATAATTTACAGTTTTTCGAGTATTTCATGAGCTGACGAGATCTCATCTGACAGCAAATGAGCAATATCATGCTCAAAAAAGCACTCGAGAGAAAATGAGAGGCTCAAAGTTATATTAAGAGTCTATAGCCGCATATGGTCGTGAGAAAAAGCTTCAAACAGATAGCAAGTAAATCAAAGTTGAGAGAAAAGAAATTTTTGTGATCTTACTGACTCAGTTTCTTTCGCGCTGTTGGACTGTTGAGTTGTGTGCTTTATTAAAGGCGTGAAATATAGCGAGAAGCCCAAAAGCGAAATAATTGAATGTCCATTAATAGTCGTTAATAAGTTTAAAAAAATACTCAATTGATTTTAATTTTTCTATCCGCTAATGCAATTTAAAATTCAATTATCGAAAAAAAATAGGATATGAAGTGGAATATAATTATTGTTTTGTGTACCTTGATGAAATGTGAACAATATATTATTGGAATTGTTTGTGATTAGTTTAAATATAACAACTTTAATGGCATCAAGTGAAAAAATAGTGAATAATTGCAGCTAAAATTTTAAAGTGCTTTAATTCTCAAAATAACTTTGAATATTGTTAACTTCGCTGGATCCAGTTGCTGTGATTATAGATGTTCTAATAAAGAAGACCAATAAAAAAATCTACCTTGATTTTATTACTGAAACAACATCATTAATAATAATCTTTAAAAATAGAAAGCCATAAACGAGCAAAATCACCAAAATCAAGGATTATTTATTTTTTTAAAGAGAATATCAATAAATTAGCCAAAAAAAAGTGGACATTGACAGAAATAAAGTTCTTCCGCAATTTTCAAGGTCTGTATAAAAATCAAAAATAGATCTGCCATGACATCTTCGAGCATGGCATGGGTGTAGATGATTTTGCAAACCAAATGAGCAACAAATATTTTTCGATTAATAATTAGGCGAGATATTCCTTATTGTCTTATAGTCGCGAGAAAATCTCGGCAAACGCCTTCTCGACATGATGATTTTTTTTTCCTAAATAGTTATTTACATTTTGCTAAGCGGATTCATCTTGTTGACACGTGACATAAATGCTAGAGAACTAATATCTCTTTTATGGCAGCTCTTAAAAGAATAAAGCATGTTAATTAGTCATAAACTTATAGGATATAAAATAAAGCTCATTGGTCACGAAAAAAAAAACTTTTTTGACACATTAGAAGAATTCATCATCATCGGAAATGGACGACAAGTCAATTAATACTATTCATCTATGAGGAAATCCCCACGCAAGTTTATTCCGTCACCTTATAAGATTATTTTAGATTAATTCATTTGTTAAGAATGTGATGAAGCAATGAAGTCTATAAAACGCGTTGCTGTTGTTGTTGTCGGCGACATAATCGTAATTCCATCAGATAAATATCACATAATACAAAATAATAAAGCTAGTTTGCTTAAGATATGGGCGAAATAATAATAATTGGTACGATTGGCATTCTTGTAGCACAACATAATGTAATGAATGGTCTTACATTTACCTTGATAAAACTCTATTATATTTTCTAGCGACTCAATACACTTCGTTGGCGTTGATTTAATTTTTCCTCAACTATTGAACTTTAAATTAAATTTTTATTATTAGCATTATTATTATTCTTTTACTATTACGGTACATTAGACAGATAGATAGAAGACAACGTTGAATTACAAATCGATATAGAGACACAGCGGAAAAAATAAATAAAAACTTGTGAAATATATGTGGGTAATTAAATTTAATGATGGCGAATTATAGCGAAAAATTTGATACAAATACGAACGAACCTTAAGAGTAAGAAATCATTATCAAACGAGGTCAAGATTTCGTGTAATATTACTACTAGAAAAAAATGGTGCGATTGACTTAGACTTTAACATGCAACATTGACCTTGAGAATTTTAAAATAGAGACATGTAATAGCTTTTATTTGACAGTGCTCAATTACACTTAATGTGGCAGAAATTTTCGTGTATGCTTTATGTGCTGACATGTTTCGGATGTTTGCAAAATAGAAAGAACTTAGGCCCAACCCAAAGCATTTTTTTATTCTCGCAGACAAGTTGTAAAAAAAACAAAATCAAGGATTTTAAAGAAGGTTCACGCAGGTGATTGACTCAGAAAGGAAATTTACTTATATTTGCAATAGTTTTTTTTTTACTAGAATCACGAACAACATTTGACCATAATGTAGACACTTGTTATGAGCGGAAACTTAACTTAACTATTTAATTTACTTAACTGACAGATTTAAGCTGCATAACTTGAATTTCCATAAACAAAATTACGAAATCACTTATATCGACTTCTATCTTATCCATGTATCTGCTCTGATCAGTTAGAATCTTGTCTATAACAGGTTAAACAAAAGCATACGTGACCTAGATGCATAAATGATTATATATGATCAGTACAGGTGTCAAAATTTTCTTTACTTTATCTTAACATATGTGTAACAGTATAACGAAGTTCATGGCCAGATTTAAGTTCCTTAGAACATGTTTATGATTCCAAACAAGTAAAATAAACAAAAGCCAAAATTAGAAAAATCAAACTTAACAATACAAAGCTGATAAATCAATAATTTTCTGTTCAAATAGCACCAGCCTCATAGTGCCGAGCAGCTAAAGACATCTAATTAAGTTGAAATCTAATTATCTTAATGATTTTAATGATAATCGATGGTTACAAGACGTGAAAATTAAAATATTGTAAAGCAATTTCCTGTAACTTAATGCTATTATTAACATGCCACTTTCTTAAAATTATACAGCCAATACATCACAATATGGCGATATCCAGAGTTCAGTATGCGAATATTTAGATTTATTATCGTTACTGGCTTTAGAACAGGAGATGACTTAACGTTTTTTAAGGTGCTGTCGATAAAAATGACTCTCGTGACACATTCTAGTGATTAATGACTTAAACCTGAATGGAATGACTGAATTGCATTATTTTAGTTCCTTTAAAAAGTTTAATATTTGCAGGGATGTAGCAAGGGTGTTTGACGCCCGAATTTGTGAAAACTCCGCAACTTTGGCTTTTAGTTCTTAACATCAATGCACATTATTCTAACAGCCATAAAAAGATATAAACAATATTAATTATACCAATCAGCTATTAATCAATGACGGCTAATGAAAGGATTAACTTAGCATCATCATCAACATTTATTAAATTAAATTATTTTTCATTATTCATTATTAAATTAAGTGTTGAAATGAAAATTCTTCAATTTGACATTAATCCGTCCTCACCTCTCTTTCCCATATTGAGGACTAGCCATTAATTTATAGGTATAGTCGACATAGAAATATCTGCTATGTAATTAACAGCTCTAAACTGAATTTGTAACAAGTCTAAGGTTTTGTTTAATTTTATATTTTTAAAAAAACTGCATTGTAAGCAGCTGACAATCAAGTCTGATGAGATGCAAAAATGTGTTCTCATAGCATTTAATTGAATTCTTCTGAGTGACGATGCGTTGTAACAGAAAATCACAAAACACAATAGAATTGTTTTCATTTGAATTAAGGTGATGATGTCGTTGGTGATCTCATGATGCTTTAATTCTAAGATAAATTGAGCTGTTGTAATTTTCTAATTTTATTTAAAAGGAATTTTGTCTCATTATTCGATTTATGATTAATTATTGTTATTGAAATTACAAAAGATTATTGGAAATAATGATTAATGGGGTTATACACGAGTCACATTGATTAAATAATAAGATATCTGCAAAGAATTCACGGGTTTGCAATTATTTTTAGCACGTTTAAGTTCCTTAGCAACATTGTAAGGTTTTCGATCAGAATTTCTGATAAAAGGGAATTGGAGTTTAGTAGAGTGTTGCTGAATTTATTTCCACATTGGTACCTAGAAGTTTATTTGGAAAGGTCGACATTAAATCAAAGTGGGGCCAGCTTAATTCAGATTCTTCGTGAAAACTGATACAAAATCAGCATGAGACCACGTTTTTAAGTCTTGGGTGCCATATATCTTTCACTAGTGTCGCAGCTTTTAATTGTTTCGATTAATTTGAACACCCTTCCTTCCACTTATCTAGTCGAATAATCCTATTCTCTATATACAGCTCTCTCTTGCAAGCCATGACGAGTCATTGAACTCTCACACTTTTATCTTACCCTTCATTCAGTTCAGTCAATCACGAGTATCGAAAAAAAAAATAAGCAAACATTATGCAACGCTCAAAACAAAGTCGAGCATAAATCGAAAGCAACAAAAAACGATTATCTGCGTATTAGTAGGTGAACAGCAATTTTGTTTTACTTCTTTTATTTTTGTGCAAAGCTGTTTTCCTTCTTCGTGAGTCGCTAAATCTTTCTTCTTGCATACTTTATTTATCTTTCTCGCGCGCCACAACGTTGTTGCTTTATGCTGCCTGTTGCATTCTGTGAAATGCAATGTTACAATTTTATTATTCGTCTTGTTGCTACTTGCAGTGTTGCTCTGTTGGTTATGTACATATTGTACAGCAAGTATTATTATTATTATATATGATTTCAGATATTATTACGTATTCCATTACTAAGTGCACAATGAGAGCAAAGTCAACGGAGGAAAAAAGACAACGTTTCGGAGGTCTTTACTGTTACCATTGAGAATGCCTTGGTCAATTTTATGAACGAAATATCTTAAAAATCGATCAATCACTCATGAAATTTCGTGATGATCGAGTTCCATTTACTTGCATTTTTAATTGAAAATTTGTCATGATATTAGAAATTAATTGGCTTCAATAGGCTGTTTCCTAATAAATTATAGCTATTTAGTGTCTACTTGATGCTTTTTAGCAAAAGATTGATGATTTTTGCGAATTTTTCTCCATATTTGGAAATATTTGAATTGTAATTTGATCGTGAAAGATTTATGAAAGAATGATCAATGTTAGACAGCTACTAAATTGAATTTATGTGAAGAATAAGATATAAATAGAAGGATTTTAGGAAAGGAAGTCATAACTTGTTAACAAAATTTCTAGATCCAATTTTATTGCTAGAATAAAAACTCAACTCGAAAAGACCAATTTTAGAAATTATGGCATGACCTGATCCGTAAATCGTGAAAAAACTCTATGGACTAATGTCCAAAATAGTTGAAAAATACGCAAATATTTTCAGTAAGTCGTAAACTTTAACAAACATCGTAAATTCGTATCAGAATATCAATATATTAGAATATCCACTAATCTGTTGAAAAACAATAAATAAATACTTCTAAACAGCTTTACAAAATGTCGATGAAATTCAATAAAAATCAATATCCAAAAAGAGATGAATGGAAAAGAATGATCAGCCATAAAAGACCATTAATAATGAATTCAATTTAATGTCCTCCAAGTATCAGTCCCTTGTCTCTTAATATTCCTTTTTATAAAAGCATAACCTCAAAAATGATAAATTATTGCAGAGCATTCGACTCGGGTCGAGTTACTATGTACTCTAGAAAGCCACATAAATTGAAACAATAAAGAAACAAAAATGCCTTATTCATTCATTCATACAATTTTTTGTGTATATACAAAAGCGATTTGGTTTGAGGAGTGCCTGAAGTAAGCAACAAGAATCAGTTGCGCTGGTGTTTTAATCTCAAGCGACCAGAGAGCAAGAGAATGTTACATTTTAAATGTTAGACTTAACCCGATTAATTTATATGAACATAATTCTTATTAATAATTAAAAAATTAATTCATAAAGATCAGTTTGTCTCCTATTCGATGTCATAACAATTTAAAAATTTGTTTAACATGTTACATAAATTTGTTTAAGTTATTCTCACTCTTTATTTTATATTTCAATGTCCCGCAGTCCATAAAATGTAAACATTATCCAATTAATCTTTGCCGCATAGTAAATGAAAGAAAATGTGTACAAAAGAGAGAAAAGGTGAATGAAATGCTTACGCACCTGAATGAAAGGTTATGAGATCAAAGCAACGTGAAATGTGAATTAAATTAAGGTAATTTCGGTGCAATTTTACGGTTTTTAAGATTCAAAGAGGTTTTTGACTCTCTGTGCTTTCACTGTAAGACGCTTGACTGTTCAATTAAAGTTTTATGTCTATGCGAAAAATCGTTGAAGATTTTTTTTTTCATTCGAACGGAATTTGATCTGCTTCCATTTATATCACAATTATTTGTTTCCTTAAAAAGCTTACAATTTTAATTGAATCACCGTGATTAAAAGCATGAAAAATCGTAATTTCTTGTTCAATCAAACGCATAAAGCATAATTCTCTTCCCATTTTAAAGTCAGACAATGGTGAACTTTACGTTTGGTTTGAGATCATTGTTCTATTGGAGGTCTATTGATTCAGTTACATTTTTTTTGTGTTCAATAACTTCCGTTTAATGACTATCAAAATGAAGCATAATGTTTCTTGTAGACTGTTGTAGCCGAACAAAGGAAACTTTAGCAATAAAATACATATTCTAGGGATATTGGTTTGCAACTTGGTTGGTTTTATTAATGAACACTTCTTAGTGTAAAGCACAGAACCCCACTATGGAGCTTTGATTAACGATCTCCATTGCTAGCTGGTGAATAGGACGCAACCTAAACGCTATGTTTAAAATCTCAAAGTCTCTCGGTACCAAAGCTATACCAACTGCAACCCACTTAAACGATGATACCAAGCATTACAGTCTCAAAAATATTCACTAACAATGCAAATAACAATAATTGTTTATATCGAGCGGTAAAACTAAACGAGTAAGCACTCAAGAAGAAATCGATTGTTTGTCAATGAACAAAAAGAGTAGCAGCAACAAAAATAGCGTTAAAAAATATTACGTGAATTACACTTAACAAAAAAATTTAATTGATTTGCATCGAAAATATTTTTTTTTAATAATTGGAAATCATGCGCAAACAGCCGAAAAATGGTGCAACATTTTCATATTTATTCATTGAATTCGTTCGTAACTCAGAAATGAAACAGAACAACAAAATAATTTGAGACTTTTATTTCGAATGTGCTTTTATGGGCCTTAAAAAAGTTTGAATTGAGACAGCTCAATTAATTCCAATTATTCATAATTTTAATCCATTGTAATTGTTTTATTGGAAAGTAGCGGCAAAATATTTATGACAATTTATAAGCAGATTAAATTGACATTCAATTTAAAGAAAAATGAGATGAATTTGTAAAGATTAAATGCACACGAGAAATGCTTTCAAACCACCTGTTGATGACCATCAAAAGAAATGCTTGTAATAATAACCTGATTTTACTTGATTTAGCTATTAAAGAAATTTTAATTAACTTATTATGTTTTCAATGTCAATTGATGATTGTATGGGAAAATAAGATGTTTATTTTTCTCATTAAGTTGATGTTGTTGAGCTTTATGTATGAATGGATGAGATGTAAGTAGGCTGTTTAAGAGGCTTTTAAGTTTCTTGGTTTGATTTCCTTTTACTTCTTCAATAAATATTTTATTGACTGAAAATATTACTATTTTGGTCATTTTTTGTAAGGATCCTTAACTTACTTTATGATTATTGCCTGATTGACTAGAATTGTATTGAAGGATGCAAGGAATATCATTAGCAATTTCCTAACAAGTGAAAAATTGAGAGTTGGACCATTTAAACTCGAATATTGATTCCCTTCTCTCCAATGCTTAAACTTAATAATTAAGTAAGGTGTCTTAAACCTAAAGCAAAGCTATACTTAAGACCATATTTATTTAATTAATCACTAATTCAATCACAGAATCAAGTGCATTACAAACAAGCTATAATATTTAGATCACGTCGTAAAACAAACAATATTTGTCAACAGCATATCCAATTTAATCTTAATTCAATCTTTTAATCCTAATAATGCCATGTTTTGTTAATTTAAAATGTTCTTAATATCTGTAGCGTTGACAATTTACGGCATTAATTTGCCATAATCTTCGATACATTTTAATTTAATTACGCATGCAGTTCCAATTTAAATTTTTAAATAAAATCAATTTTAAGCGTCATAAAAATTAATGGGATTTTTAAAATTTACATTTTACACTTTTAATTAGTTTTACACGTCATATAATTGTGGTCACATATTTAATTAGATTCTATAACAAGCAAAATTAAAAGCATATAGCCAATCCTTAAACTGCCAATTGAATTTTTAATATTATAAACTTTAAAACCAATTTTTCAATAAACTCAAAACAAAATTAATTTAATAATTTTTTAAGGAGCATTAAAGAATTTAAATTGATTGTTGTAAGGTCATATTTGACATTGAAAGATTTTGTCGCATGTCTAGAGAAATTAGCAATCGATAATAAATTGTAGTAGTATTTTGATGTATTGACAGCTTCCATTACTGATTGATCTATCTGACATTTTGTCAAAAGAATTAATGCATGAAGTTAAGGCATTGTGACTTGTGTCCTTTTATCTTTAAAATCATTGACATTAAATCCCTTGAGTAGATTCAAGTAGTGAAGGAATCGAGTTTTTAAAAGTCAGCATTTTTAAGCTGTTTAGTTAAGCAGTAAACTATTCTCTCCTTGTTACTGATCAAAGCCGAACCAAATCTTAATTTTCAGTCTAAAATTAGGGTTAGGACAATAAACATCATAATATATTTTGTAAGAAAAACTCAGTATTTTATTAATCCGTAAGGAACTTAAAAACCTCCAAAAGATACCAAAGCAGGTAGTACACTACCCACGACTGTAGCCTAATAAGAAATCAATTTTAAAAATAGATTCATAATTGACAGCTTGATCGATTAGAAACTTAATCTCATTTCCTTTATATTGAATCTATGTAAAACATAAAATTCATTAATAATACAGTAGCAGTGATGGGAAAACAAAGCAGTACAAGATTCCCATCATTAGCAAAATTAATTTACAAGATCAACTTTCATCTTGTAATTATTCACAACATTCCATTTAATTTCTCCTCATTAATCGCTTCTTTATAAAAACCCTTTATAATCTTAATTCATTATGATTAGTCGAGCCGTCATAATCGTGAGAAAAAAAACTTCACATTTCATGCTGTTTCAAGTAGAAAATCTAATCAGTAAATGCACCGACTAGGCGAGAAAGAAAATAAGAAAAAAATACATTGAAAGTAAAAGTATTCGCGCTTAGAATATTAAACATGCATAAATAACCATTAAATACGTATTTAACAGTCATTCAATCACCACAAAAAACTTGCTGGTAATGACCGTAAGAAAATGTGAATTTAAACAAAAAGAAATGAAGAAAAAAAATTAAAGTAAAGTAACTGCTTTGGTCCATTACGCAATAGTCAAAGAGGAAAAAAGAGATTAAAACTGCAACAGAAGTAGGTGAACAACATTTCATATATGAATATTATGCTGCTGCAAGTCTTTGCTTCACATTCAACCTCTATGTGCAAAGTGAAAATTGCAAGTGACTTGCAAAGCTATGCAGCATAAACATGACCAATATATGTAGCAATAAAGGAAATTACGATGCGGACGATTAATCAAATTGCCATCGCAGATTAATAAAAGAAGAAGAAAATCGCGGCATGCACACACAGCAAGTTGCGGCTAATATCGCATCACAATTTATTATGTTATGAGCACTTTATTGTAATTTATGGATTTGGTACGATATGACTTTAACATCATATGAGATTATTATATCATCGCATTTGATCATCCAAAAGTGATTCGGTTCATTCGACCGATGAGTATGATTAATAAAACATCAGTTCATGATGAGTATGACTTTTTGGAAGTAGAAAAAGAAGCTCTTGCTAGATATTATATCATTATTAAGTTAACCTTTTGGTCGATGGCTTTAACTATTTGCATTATTAATTTTGTTTATCGAAAGCGCATTTTTATGAAACTTACTTTGGAATAAGAGCTACCAACCAGTCAATCCAAAAACATTTACTCAATTGTTTTGCAAAATCACTTTAAAAACTTTTCAGCATTCGAAATTTATTTCTTTTAATTTTAAAATGTAAACTAAAGGAAAATTTTAAGTGAATGATGTAACGTGAAATTGGATATGTTTATACTCAATACAATAAAGATTTTTTGCGATACTTTTCTTGTTAAACACTTTTCCTACAAGGCTTTGTGTCTCTTTTTATATTGGCTTTACAAAAAATTTAAATTAGAGAGCATAAATGCATAGAAAAGAAATGTGGAATTTTTTAAGGTCGTTGTGCTGATTTTCTCAACATTGCAAAATTCACAAAATTTTAAATTTCTTCTTAATGACTCAAATTAATTAAAATATCTCACAAGATTGATCATTTCTCAAATATTTGCAGATGAAGAACTTCACCTTGACATTGCTTGCATTTCTTCTCATACAATGGTGCAGTCTTCATAAAATTTCATGCTCAACTGTAGCTGTGAGTCAAAATAGTAGCGATGAAGATCATCATTCACCATTGTCTGAAGATAATTTATTGAAAGTCAGTGCAACACATGCAGTCAGTAACTCAACAGATCATAATTCTTACTCAGACTCAGCATCAGCATATGTCAATGAGAAAAAGTAAGTTAATAATAGTAATAATAATATTTAAATTCATTTATGTGAATTAGATTTTGATTCATTCATTCATTCATTCGTTCAACTCATCATCATCATCATAGCCGACATTTACAGCATAATGAGATTAATAATAAATATTTTTGTTTTATGAAAAATACGAGAAAATCTTTGTTAATGATCTTGGGAAGTTTGTGAACATTAAACTCAATTGTTAAATGAGTGAAATCAAGCGCATTTTGTAAATGTTTATGAAAGTTTACTCATCAGAATAACTGCAGTGACAGTACTTCTATTTCCATCACCATTGAATCATCATTTCTTTCCGTGAAAGTATCATGACGAATTGTTAATGAGATGGCAAAAATGTGATTTGGATTATGCTTTCTCGCTATCGGGATCGGGATCGGGATTTCCCGGGATTTACCGATCCCGATCAATCCCGGGATCCCGAAATTTATCGGGATCGGGATTGAAAATCCCGGTTTTTTAGTTTAGGAAATTATTGATGTTTTAGAACCTGCTAAATACGCGACAGAAGAATTATTGCGTAAATCAAACGATTTATTAATTGCTGAAGAAACAATTAACTTTTTGCTAGACGAATTGTCGCTACAAGGAACATTATTGTCTCAAAAGGTTTACGATATGAATTGCGCTCGCATAGGTGCACGAAGAAATGGAACATTAATTGACTTAATACTTTACCTGAATAATCCTCAATATATTTCTTTAGACAAGCATTTTAAATCGTCAACAAAAGCTGCAATACATAAACTTGGCATTGACTTATTGAAGAAGTATTTTGTCAAAAACTCTACAAATGGAGCTATGGAAGCTTCAACATCCAGTGCAAATCAAATCCAACCGTCAAACATTTCTATTCGAGATAGACTGAAACTAAGCATATTTGAATATACATCATTAACAACAGATGCAGCAGCAACAGAACCAAATAACTTGAAAAGAGAGTTTAATTGGTATGACAAAAATAAGAAGAGAACCGTTTTATTAGATCAACTTTACGATGAATTGATAACAATGCAGCCGACCTCAACTCAAAGCGAACGAAATTTCTCTATTAGTAACAACATTCTTACAAAACAAAAATGTCTTTATCAACATTTATTTTCTATTTTTGTTTATGTTCACATTTTTCAAAGGAAACATGGATTAAAACATCTACCTTGTAACACATAAAGTATAACTAATTAATTAAGGAATAAATGACCGTATAAGTAGCAAAAAAATACATAATTTTTTTTGGGAAAAAAAGCAGAAAAATGCTGTTTTTTAAATTTTTTTACATATTCGGGATTCCCGGGATTTCCCGGGAAATCCCGAAAAATTTCAATCCCGATCCCGATCCCGAAAATTTGTCGGGACCGGGATTTCGAGAAAGCATAATTTGGATAATCAAGGAAAATATAAATTATTTGATGCTGCTTTAGCTCATGAACACTGTTTAATCGGTTTTGTCACTCAGCAGTTGAAAATGAAGTAAAAAGAAGAATAGACATGAACGAATGAAAGCGAAATTTATGATTTATTTCCTGGTCTTTAAAAATTTCTATTTTTTTTTGTGTTAACTTTTCTCATCAATTTTTTTTTTGCATTTCATCATCCACAGGTCAGAAAGGAACCAAAGAACATTATACAGAAGAGCTGGTGGTCATCTAAGAGGCGATGTCGCATCAACTACAACAACAACAACAAGCCTACCGCATCGACGTCCAACAGTTCAAAGTCATCTTAATGAACCATCAACGTCACGCGAAGTTATTCATCCCGTCAATTCAAATAGCATTAAAAATCACAAGAGCTATTTTCGAAGAAAAACGAAGACAACATTGCAGCCATCTCAACATAATTCATCATCGAGTCATCGTGATGAGAATGAGAGAAGCAGCAGTAGCAATAAAGTCATTAATGTCACAATATTAGATAGTTCAGATTCCAAAGAAATAAATGACACGAATGACGAGGAAAATAGTCTAGATTACGGTCTAATGGCTATGAGTGCAGCTGGTGAGGGAAATAAAGATGATGAGGAGCTTACAAAGACATCATTAAGGGACACAACGAAAGATGAGAAAGTAAAAACTCTTTCAGATCAGATTGCGGAAGGAAAGTATGGATTAATTGAGAAAGAGATTTTTAATAAGCCTCAAAAAGCTCCTGGAATAATTTCGTACAAAACAAATTCAGAGACACCAGATGACAATGAGAAAACTTTGGGTGGGTTAAGTAAAGATGAGATTTGGTTAGCAGAAGATCACCTTCTAGTCCTTAAAGGAGGTATCGCAAATGATAAGAAGAATAGTGCTAATGAAAATTGGCACCCAATTGACGATTATGAAGCACCAAAAAGACCAGTTAAAATTCCACTCAATCCACGAGTTCCACCTCCCTTTCCCGTACAGCTCTCGGAAAATGGACCATTACAATTTATCGGACATAATAAATTTTCGATATTCAATCCGTACACAAATGAAACAGGCTTATTTGCAAATGTTAATGGCCACATCACGCCCAAAAATCAAGCCAATAGTGAAGATACGAGGAGTTCTGTTACCGGGCTTGGAGCGATCAAAAATCTTACGAAAGATAAGATTCATGAAGTGATTCCCCCACCACCTTGGTTGTTTCATAATTCCTACAAAGACGTTGATCTACTCAAACATTTTCCATTTAACCTACCTTTACCAGATCAAGCACTTAATAGAACTGAAGATTTTGATGAAGACGATCCATCATTGTTTTATCCACCGCCATATAGTTTCGTTTATAAAACAAATTACACAAATTTAGCGCCAGTTGGGCCTTTAGTTCCTGGAATTATTTTACCGCCACCACCAGACTTCTTCTCCGTTTACGACCCTGAAGAAGAGAAGAAACCAATTAAGACTCCACTTGATGCATATCATAGAATCAAAGAAATCCAGCTAAAGAATCGTCTAAGTGCAACAACTCAATCGCCATCTTCAACTACTGAACAACCACCTAGATCATCAAGTGCTTCATATATTCGTGATTTTACAAGGAAAACGAAGCCACCAAGTTCAACAGTTTCAACTACAAAACTATACAAAACAAAGACAACTACTGTACGCCCAGTTACAATTCATTCATCGACAATTTCTCCATTAACAACACCAAACGAAATATTGAACTATAAAACTCATCATTATGACACGACTACACTCCGATTACATCCAGTTTATATTCCACCAAGCATGTCAACAAAATTGTATTCAACAATTTCAACTACGACGACAACACAAGCTCCAATTGAACCACAAAATGTTAAGCAATACCAAAAGGATTATGGAACACAACATCATCCAATTTACTTTGAATATTTCGACGCAAGAACGGCAAATCCAATCATTGGCAATCCATATGTCGGTCCCGAATATGACACAAGCAATGTAAATGGTCAATCTACAACGAGTAGTAGTACAATACCACCTCCTGTGCAACCAATTGGTGTGTTTAATTCACCATCAAAAGTTAATAAGAAACCAAAAAGCTTTTATCCGCCACAATTTATATCCACGTCTATATCGCCCGCAAATATTGATGCAAAATATTTATTTGTAACACCAAAGCCAGACATATTTGGAACAATTAGTGCCCCACAAAAGTATCCAATTGCAACAGACAATCCAATTTCATATAATACAGCACTTCCAGTACAGAAGCCATTGATACTAAAGCCTGTTGGTAAATTTGAAGATGAAATTGCTGCAATTAAGCATACATTAGATTATTATAATAGCGGTAGCAAACATAAGCATACCCAGAAACCGAAAGTGAAGGCAGTTTATGAGTTTTCATTTGAAGCATCGAAGCATAAAAATCAACATCAACAGCCGTCACAAGAAGAATTCCAACCAATGTTGTCATACGATCAAAAGAATGCACACTTAACTGAATTGATAAATACAAATAGTTATTATCCAACATCAAGTGAACCATCAATGAAGTACTATCGAACTAAGCAATCGGCCACGCTACCACCGAAGAAGAAAAATGCTCATATGGAATCAGGTGTATCGGCAGCACCACAATCAATGCATTATGGACAAAAGTTGCGTCAACAAAATCTAAATTATTATGTTAGACCAATATTTAAAGAAGTTGTGACATCACCGCACCAGTCGCAACAATCACAGAAACTTATTATATATCCATCGCAATCATCACATGATATTCAATCATCGTCAGTGCCAATTAATGTTGATCAACATGGATACAGAATTAACAGTAAAAATATTAAGTATCGCAATCCACAGCAAAACCAGCAACAGCAACAATATTACGGACCAAATAGTGAAGTTATTAGTTTAATAAATGATACGTTGGTCAATTACAAACCACCGCAAAGGCCAATTAATCCATTGAGTGAATTTATTGATGTGTCAAGATTTCCACAAAGCAATCCAACACCTCAAACTGGTCTAAGACCTCAAAATAGTCCGCCATATAATCCGTCACATGTTTATCCACAACATTTATCCCCACATCCTTCTCAAATTCCACATCAGCAGCCTATTTATCCCGGTCCATTCCAGAGACCACAGCAAAATTATCCTCAACAGCCACAACATAATTATCAACCTCAACAGTCACACCAGAATTTCCCTCAACAGTCACATCAGAGTTTCCCTCAACAGTCACATCAGAATTTCCCACAACAGTCGCAGCACAATTTCCCTCAACAGTCGCAGCACAATTTCCCTCAACAGTCACAGCATAACTTCCCTCAACAGTCACATCAAAACTATCCTCAACAACCAAATTATCATCCAAGTGCTTCTCATGCATCATTAGATGCTTCAAATTATCCAATAATATCACAAATTAATCCTGAAAGTGTGCACATAACTTTCTATAATCGACCACTAGAGAAGTCAGATGATGGAAAGTTCTGATCATACTAAGCTATTGTGATTTAAGTAATAGGATATTTATTATTTAATGATATGAATGAGAAGAAATTTTTGAGACTTTAGGTTGTGATAGGTAGGAATGAACTAAACCCCAACATTTATTTTGTGAATCAATGATTCTAGATTGTAAAGCATTTGTCACACTTAGTCCTTAGTGTGAGTTTTTCTGAGAATGACTTAAGTATTGTTGATTAATGTAGGAAATGCTTGCAGCTATTATTCTGAGATTTAGACGAGATTTTCAATTATCTTTGTAAAGGAAGAATTGTGAAGATCAAGCTTGTTAACCATTTCCACATCAATGCTTAAAAGAAAGAACGGGATTACTAGTTTAAGAATTGTAATCCTTTAATTGTATCTTATTGCATTTCCATTGATTAGCACATTTGAATGACTTATGTCTTATGAAATATTATGTGCTTAGTAATAAGGTGCAACATATTAATAATATAGTAGCCACTACACAATGCTAGCACGTAAATGGCACCAAAGTATGTGCCTAAATTTAAATAATACAAAGACATACTCTTACTTCTGCTATATTTATGCCATGTGTAAACTTTCTGAAATTAAAACAACTTAAATCCCGTATAAAAAATTTTATGCACCATTCACCAAATTCGTGTAATGAATCTACAAAACTTTTACTGTAAAATATCAATCGTACATGCTTTTTACTAAATTAGTAAAAGGAAAAAAAATTGTAAAGTTGATGAATGCAAAATTATTTTCGCTTAAATCGAGTGGCAAATTGCCATTAGCCGGTATTTTATCAGTTTTTGATCTTAGTAACGCCGTCTGGGTGACAAAATCGGTTATTTTTAAGTGTAGCTGTAGCTTAAATTACTGATTACGTACTGTTTGTGGCAGTTTGAAGCTCTCTAAAGAGTTATTAATAACAGTTTGAAATTATTAAGCTCTTAGCAGGGCTTTTACATACTCAACATGAACAAGTATTTTTTAAAGGATTGACTTGAGATAAACAATGTATCGGAAGATCTTACACCTTAAATCTAATTTGCAAAAAGAAATTTCACATGTCTACATTGGTCTACACATGTCTCGGGTCATCGAACTTCAACAATTTATTACCTTGTAAATTCAACAATCGTGCACAGATAATTACTATTGTAATAATTAGTGATAATTAAGTATTTATGAATCCATAATGATTAAGTTAAGACAAACGAGACAACATGAAAGTTTTTAAGTTTAAATAACATTTTCTTCCTTTTTAACCTTACAAAATATACTATCTCCTATTATTATTATTATTGTGATAATTTTTAAAAAGCAAGAAATAGAAATTTTACTCGATGAAACTAATTAACGTGTTAAGATCTGATAAAAAAGTGAAAGAATTTTTTATACTGACAAAAAATGAAACAATAAAAAAATTATGTATGAAATTAAAAAAATAACTTTGATTGGAACTTTTACGTCCAGCATCTTAAATGTTTTAATGTACACATTCATTAAATCACATACTAGAGCTTATTAACTTTCAGCTAAGCGGGGGATAACAACATGAAGGACAAACATTTTGATGAGTAATTTTGAGAATTTCCCGTCACGTTGTTATCCCCTTTGGATTCTACAGAAGGACAACTCCTTAGTGATCACATCATTGCTGAGTCTAAACATTGGAATTGGTCAGCTTTAGTTTTTTTTCCACTAAGCAGTTCTCCCCCTGTGATTCCAGCAATCACGGATAAAGTCCACAAAACAAGGAAAATTTTATATCTATAATTTTTAAAACTAATTATTAGAGGTGAGTGGCTGTAACTGATAGAAATAGTTTGCTGATTTCTACGGCAGATAACTATACAGTTTCAATGATTATGTTTTTGCAAGAAGGCAAACGCCAAGCTTTGTGTTTATTTAGTTTTAAAAAACACAAAACATGAAAAAATAACAAGACAAAATTATTCATGTCGAATCTTTCACATTTTACCAGCAGTCATTATGCGAGAAATTTTAAATTGCAATCTAAACAGAGACTGACTAGTTTTAAAGTGAGAATTTGATATAATTGGAGATTATAGCGCATTTTTGGAAATTGAAATTTGAAGTTTTAAAAATGACAAAATTATCGCATTTTTCAGAGCCATGACTTTGCAAATTGTGAACTGTGACGCACATACATTCTTAAGATATTCCCAGACGTGTCATAAGATTTCGCAGAGAACGCTTTTACACGAAAAGTTCCTTTCCAAACTTTGAATCAAGAATTCCTGCTTTTAGATTCAATGTCCTTTACGAGCAGTTACATAACTTCCATTAAAACAACTTATTAATTCCATGTGTCACCGGCAACTCCAACTTAACTTCCACTTCCTATTGAATAATTTCACTAAAAACTACTTTACCTAGACATCAGACAAATGATAGGCATTAATTTCCTGAAACATTTCATTTCTCACAAAAATACTCGAATGTACAAAAGTCATCAACTGTTACTTTCATGAAATCAAATAAAACTAATTCGATTGCATTTCAAGGCAGCAACGATTTAAATAAAAATTAAAAATTCTTTACGCATGGCAATGACATGATAATAATGATAGTTGAAACGTGGAAAAGCTTCCTTGAATTAAATATTTGTGCATTTATACTTTCACAATGAAAAAAAAAAAACAGTTTATGATGAATAATAATTTCAACTTGCTGTTCTGAATTTTTAAATGAAAACAAACAAAACTTTCATCTTCAACAGGCGAAGAAGAATCTTCAATTTCTCTCAACATTTCACGATTGTTTACAGACTTCCCAAGATCATTAACAAAGATTTTCTCGTATTTTTCATAAAATAAAAATATTTATTATTAATCTTATTATGCTGTAAATGTCGGCTATGATGATGATGATGAGTTGAACGAATGAATGAATGAATGAATGAATCTAAATCTAATTCACATAAATGAATTTAAATATTATTATTACTATTATTAACTTACTTTTTCTCATTGACATATGCTGATGCTGAGTCTGAGTAAGAATTATGATCTGTTGAGTTACTGACTGCATGTGTTGCATTGACTTTCAATAAATTATCTTCAGACAATGGTGAATGATGATCTTCATCGCTACTATTTTGACTCACAGCTACTGTTGAGCATGAAATTTTATGAAGACTGCACCATTGTATGAGAAGAAATGCAAGCAATGTCAAGGTGAAGTTTTTCATATGCAAATATATGAGAAATGATTGATCTTGATAGATATTTTAATTATCTTGAGTCATTAAGAAGAAATTTAAAATTTTGTGTATTTTGCAATAATGAAAAAATCAGCACAACGACCTTAAAAAATTCCACATTTCTTTTCTATGCATTTAGGGGCTGTTCACTTATTACGTAACGCGAAAAAATGACTTCTTAGACCCCCCCCCCTCGTAACAAAATTTGTATGAAAAAAAAATTTCCTTGTTTGAACCGTAACAAAATTTTAGACCCCCCCTCCCCCTAAAAGCGTTACGTAATAAGTGAATGGCCCCTTATGCTCTCTAATTTAAATTTTTTTTTGTAAAGCTAATATAAAAAGAGACACAAAGCCTTGTAGGAAAAGTGTTTAACAAGAAATGTATTGCAAAAAAATCTTAAGCCATAAATTTATCCAATTTCGAATTACATCATTCACTTCATTTTAAATTGTTTTCTTTTTTCTATCGATTGATTGTTAAAAATGCTCTCTCATTTTCTTTACATTATATTAGAATTGATTTATGGTTGGCTGTTAGCGATTTAACAATAATAAATGTGACAAATATTAAGATAATTTAAAGTAGTTTATGTCACATTTTTCATTGTAGAGCATAGAGCATAATAATGTGAAGAAAGAAGGTAGAAAGAAATTAGACCTGCTTATTTTTGTGTAAGAGCTTATTAATAGTTATTTGGTCAGTGCACTTGGTCACTTATTTATGATTTTGGAAGGCATATAAACTCCGGATTGATCTCAAAACTATTCCAGTGTTTACAAGATTGATATTTTGAATCCTGCAAGAAAACTTTAGGCTCTTAGAAACCTAAAATAAGAGTTCCTAGTCAAATCTCCCATAAAATTATCAATATTTAATCTTTTTATCTAATCCAATCAAAATATCGCAATTTTTAAGTATAACCTTCAAATCGACTAATTAGGCAGCCATAAAAACATTCCAAGCCCCAAAATATGCGCTCATAAAATCATAAAACACAACTTTCATACTAAAATTTCTTCACCATTATAAATATCGTAAATAATGCTTAAATATATCGATCATAATCACAATAAAATGAAAATTGCGACATTTTTTTCATTCCTTTCTATTCATAAGTGCCATATCACAATCCAATTCACAATAATCACCATTTAGCATTTACTCTACGATAGCATATTAATATTAATATCGTTAGTAGCGTTAAATCAGTGAATTGGATTAAAAGTTTTCATCATAAGCTATTATGCAATCCATTCCATATATCATTGTGCTTCTCTCTTTATTCCCATTTGGGCTTCTTTTCAATTTCATCTCGATATTTGTTAAATGATCAACAAATGATATGTTATTAAATTTTGACTAATTTTAATTCAAAAAAGAGTTGAAAATTGGATATAATAATGCAACAAAGTAGGCGTTTAATTGAATACGATAATATGATTTGATATTCATCTAAACCACACGACTTTAAAAAGGTTAAATGTTATCGTCATATGAACTCTTTTATGCTTGTCTATTAATGATCATTAGGCTGCTTTTTTAATCCTATTTAGGTTACAGCTAATGGAATTGTCGTTTAATATAAAACGATCATAATTTTCACAAATTTATTACCACTTTACTTTTGCGACCGATATAAAGTTTTGAGGCTAGTTGCCGAATATAAAACCTGTTGGATGGAATTTTTTTTTTATATTTTTGAGGATTTTAAAGTTTTGATTTTGGCAAAATTAAGTTATGACTTAGTAATTATGTAAGTTTAATCACCGACTCTATTGAGAATATAGTAACGGTTAAAACCTAAAAGCTAGCGATCCTTACTGAAACAAAAATTTAAAATAATAAAATTTATTTGTCAACTTTCAAGTTTTAAAAAACCTAATGAAAAATTTAACCAAAGTAATAAATTGACTGTCCCAAAAACCTGAAAAGAATGGTCAGGATTTACCTAAATACCACAGTAATGATATTTTCATTGCTTGTAATTTACATTAATTAATTTTGTAATTAAAACACTTCAAAATATTATTTTAACAACAATTGTTGATTAAATTAAAATTTTAAATAAAAATCAATCGCAAAAAAAGTCGCGCGAAACTTTTTACTTCCTCTAGAATCTTTTCAAGTTTACGAGAGCATGACACAAAAAATATTAATAATTGCCGTATAAAATAATGAAAGGTTCCACCTTATTGACACACGTGTAATTTATTTAATTACGTACTCGCTAATTTTATTATTAAAAAAGGCAGAACCAAAAATATTGCGCAGACAAACCTATTGAATAGAATTTTTGCTACCGCATAATTTGCCGAAAAAAATTCAATTGAAGTCAAAAAAAATTATTTCAGCATTCCAAAAATGGCAAGTTTGAAATAGTTTTGGAATGATACATTCGCATGCTACAGATATGCTATGAAAGTTGATTAATCATTTGAAATAAGAGCGGATATTATGATATAATGTTGTGAGCCTGATTAAGTTTAGTTATTAAATGTGTTTGATCAGTCTTTGGCGCATTTTTGAATAAAATTGTTTGAATTTGAATATAGAGCTGATTTAGTTGCAGAGGTTCTCAACCTTTCATGGTTTCGACACAAATAGCCAATACTTGAAGTTGAATCTAGTTTAGGTTTGTGTAATGAAACCATCCAACCAAGATTTTAGCCTTACAGTGGTCACGTACCACAGTTTAAGAAACACTGCTTAAGTGGATTTTAAGAATTAAGTTGGAGATAAATTTGGTGATTTCATGTCATTTATTCTTCAAATGTGTGCAGCAGCTCACTTTAAAGAAAACTCAACAACTCAATTTTAATGTTAATGCTTCCAAACTACCAGAAACAATCATAGATCTTGAAAACTAGATATGCAAAAAGATTATAAATGACACACCGCGCATGTTGCTGAGTTGATTAATTTTTTTTTTTTTTAAAAAAAACTTTTTACTTGAATTGTGATTGTAGCTTTCAAATTCGATTTCATTTAAGCGAACAATGAACTACATACAATTTTTTACTGTCGATCAAAATTCATGTCATTCTTAAGAAAATGACTTGTGTAGCTTGCCAAAAAAAATTTGCTCAATGAAATCGACTTCATGCTTGTAAATAATTTGGACATGTCTCTTTTGTTGTCGAATTTATCGGGTTGAAATTTTTTTTAAGTCTACAGA